GGGGACAGTGTTCCACCCACACCCGGAGCGACTGCAGCTGTGGGCCTGGCCCGTGAGTGGCTTAATTTAACCACTGCCGGGCTCCCTCAGAGTGTAATTAATACTATCCAAAACGCCAGGGCTCCCTCCACTAGGAACCTATATGGCTCCAAGTGGGGACTGTTTGAGCGGTGGTGTCTTGAACGGGACTACGTTCCTTTTCAGTGTTCTGTACCAGCGATTCTGTCGTTTTTACAGGAACTGATTGATAGAGGAAAAGCTTTTTCCACGGTTAAGGTTTATCTGGCAGCTATAGCAGCATGCCATATAGGATTTGGAGACAAAACGGCGAGCCAAAACCCTTTGGTTTGTCGGTTTATGAAGGGCGCCCGCAGGCTCCTCCCCGTCTCCAGACCTTTGCTGCCTCCGTGGGATTTGTCGGTGGTTCTGGAGGGGCTTAAGGGACCCCCATTTGAACCGTTGTTGGGGTCCAGTCTTAAACATCTGTCTCTCAAGACAGTGCTGTTACTGGCCCTGGCCTCTGCGAAACGAGTCAGCGACATTCATGCACTCTCTGTGAGCCCCGCATGTACCCGGTTCGACCCGGAATACACGCGTATGGTTCTGAAGCCCAACCCGGCCTTTGTTCCTAAAGTGGTTGGTTCTTGTTCACCGATCGAACTAGCGGCGTTCGCCGCCCCCCCAGGTGAACGGCGAGCGCACACGCTGTGCCCTGTTCGAGCCGTGCGCTCTTATATGGACAGGACGCAGAGCTTCAGGATGAGTGATCAGCTCTTTGTCTCCTGGGCGGAGCCCCGTAAGGGGCAGCCGATCACAAAGCAACGCCTCGCCCACTGGGTGGTGGAGGCTATAGCTTTGGCGTATGGAAGCAGGGGTCTGCAGCCCCCGGCGGGTCTGCGTGCACACTCTACCCGCGGGATGGCTGCGTCCTGGGCTTTATTTCGGGGAGTGTCCGTTCAGGACATTTGTTCAGCGGCGAATTGGTCTTCGCCTCTGACTTTTGTCCGGTTCTACATGCTTGACGTGTCTGGACCGTGCGTGGCCAGTGCGGTCCTAGAGTCATAACTGACCTTGTGGACCTTCCACATCGGCCGGTTCTTGTTCGATAAGCTGTCTGGCAATACGGGAGCTACCATATCCCAAAGAACGTTTGGTTATCTAACATAACCCCAGTTCTTAGAATAATATGAGCGAGGTGTCTCGCCAGACGACCCTTCTTGCAGGGCGGCGAGAAGAGGTTTGCTTGTTGAATTGGAGTGCCGTGATCCGCACACGCTTTAGTAGTCGGAGCTACGGGGCGTGGCGTATGACGGGCACTTCCACCGGCCAATCAGGATTGGCAGATTGAGATAGATGCTTCTATCAGGGCTGCAGGAGGCTGCATCCCATAGCGAGACACCTCGCTCATATTATTCTAAGAACTGGGGTTATGTTAGATAACCAAACGTTTAGATATTTACACTGTAAGAAACCCTTGATCTATGAGTGCAATCAGTGGGACAGGGCACTGCTCCCTAAGGGATGAGTTAAATGTGGGGCTGTTTTCAGCCTCTGGTACCATTCTATCCAATGAAGCCTTTAAAGGGGAACGCTGTTTTTTTTTTTTACATTGGGCCCTTGATTTTACGTTATAACATCATGACACAAAACTCATATGGGTGAGTAGAAAATGATGTAATAACGTAAAATCAAGGGCCCAATGTAAAAAAAAAAAACGGCGTTCCCCTTTAAAGAAAATAACACCATACCAATAATCAAGCATGGTGGAGGATCCATAATGCTGTGGGGCTGCTCTGCGGCATCTGGTACTGGAGGCCTAGACCGTATCACAGGCATCATGAAATCAAAAGATTATCAAAAAATTCTAGATTGAAATGTCTTTCCCACTTGGTTTTAGGCGAAGATCCTGGGTCTTCCAGCAAGATAATGACACAAAGTACACCTCCAAAAGCACGAAGGAATGGTTGAAAGGGAAAAAATTTACTGTTTTAAAATGGCCAAATGTACAAGAGCTTGAGCAGGTTGCAAAAAAAGAGTGGGAGAAAATGCGACCTGAGAAGTGCAAGAAGCTTATAGATGAATATAAGAAATGTTTGGAGGCTGTCATTGCTGCCAAAGGCTGTGCAACCAAATATTAGGGAGGGGTGTCAATATTAGTACACATGCTGGTTTTCTGTTTTGTCCTTTGGAATTAAAGTATTTGTGTTGCAATGGTAACCGTCTTTGTTAAATTATTTTGGACCTTAAATTGAAAGCTCTTGCTGATATAACTTTTCAACATTTCCATTTATTTCTGAAGATATTCACTCAGCTATGCAAAACATGAAGGGGTGCCAATAATAGTCAGCAGGACTGTTCGTACATACAGAACATTCAACAACTATCTTGTAAACCATAGTTTTGTCTTACTGCCCTTTTATTTTCTCGGGGCCCAAAGCTTTTTGTTTTTGCAGAACTTAACTAAAGGTTGGTTTGTTTTTTTCATCTTTTTTGAATCTACAAAAATTTATTTTTAATCGGCAGCAGTTACAGCCTGCATTAGGACAAGTGATAACATTAGGGTTAGGATGTTTTGAGGACTTTCAGTGAGAACCTGCTTGGAGGGTCCCGTACCTGTGGACTGTTAACAGGTGAAATGTAGATTTTTTTCTCTCCTTAAAACCCAAACAAGACTCATGAATATTCTTCCGAAAAGTATGATATCTCTTTAGATCTAATCATGTGCTTTTCATGTGATATATCTGTGTGTAATTTTAGCTATTTGACTGGGATTAATGTGGGTGCATTTTCATGTATTCCTCACCAGAAAAGGGTTTTTCTGTAGTCTGAAAAATGTCTTTAGTTAGTCTTTTGTTCATAATAATGCTGAATCAGAATTTTTCACTCATCAGAAAAATTATTTTTTGCTCATCGGAAAAAAAACTTTTCTTGACCGGCAAAACTATGGCTGGAATAATACTTCCATTTCTATGCTTAGGGAGCTTCCATAGGGCTGTATCATGTTTCTTCTTTACCCTCAAAGCCAAGGCATCTTTTTTGCAGCATAATCAACTGAGTAGGAATAAGTGCTTTAGATAAATGATAACGCTGGAGAAAAACCTATCGATGGTGGGAATTAAATCAACTCTATAAATGTATTCTATGAAGCAGAATCCCAAATAAGTTGTTCTTTCTCTCAGGAAATGTTTTATTTTGTCTATCTTGTGTTTTAATACTCATAAAATAATGCTAAAAAAACTGTACTAATAACAACAAAACCAACATTTATGTTGACAGAAATCAAAGATATACATTTTATTATCTTTGAAGTTAAAAACATCAAATATTCTATGGAAATGTGCAGCAAACACCTCTGCCGTCCACAAACGTTCAAGTCACAGTTTAGACTCTTATCTTTAGGCTTGTGCTACAGAGCGCTGTTTGCAAAAAAAAAAAGAGCCTCTATAAAAACAGCTTATTTCCCTGGGCTGTCTCTCCAATGAACACAGCAAACATCTCACAGTCTGGATAGTCAGCTACTCTGCTTGGAAACCAATAAGCGTACTGCACTTTCACAACATGGGTTTTTCTTCATATAGAAAAAATGATAAAAATAATGAATTGGAGACTGTGCGCACACAACTGCATCTTTACATCATTTTATTTCTTCTTAGTTTTTACAAATTGATGCTTATATGCGCTGATATGATGTCAAACACCTTTACTCACAAACTTGGCCAGTAAACTTCATTTTGACTCTGATATTTTCAATTCTATTTCTAGCAATAAATAATGAATCTTACAAATCAGTCTGTATTCTCTTTTGCTTTATGATACAGTACCTCCTAAAGTGTACCCATTCTGTTAAAAAGTCTAATTTTTTGCATGATATGGACGGTTTCCCAGAGTGGAAGGGAGACAGGGGGCACAACAAAACCAGATGAAACAAAAATCAGATTAGCTGCTCTAAGTTCTGGTGTTTAGTTTTGTGGGTGAGGAGGAGGTGCATGCCCAGAGTGAGATTCATGTCACAACTCACTCCAAATATTTCAAATGTATTTATTTGAAAGCTTTTAGAGCAACACAGTGCAGCTACTAGGGGTGCTAGACCTGCACCTTCCAGGCTCACTGTCCCTGAAAGCAACTGGCAACACTAACCTGGATGGGTTTTGGAAAGACTTAAAAGAGTTCATGTTGCATGGTGGTCTCTGTTCCTGTTAGTGATGCACAGTGTTATGTTTCTGAGTTTCAGTGTTTGTGGATGTTTGAGTCAGAGTTTTTTTTTTCTGGAAAGAAAAGCTTCAGGCTTATAAACATACAAATTTATCCAGAAGTATACACTTTAGGAAACAGAACAGCACTCAACAGAAATTATTGCAGCACTTTATTGTATCTATTTGTTAGTTCAATAGGATCTTTGCTGTTAAGGCAATGCTGCCCTCTTCTGGTCTTTAATCAGAAGTGCATAAAACACTCAGACCTTGGACCTTGTCAATTCCGATTAAAAAAAATAAAAATAAATTTATTATTTGATTTTCTGGGTAAATGTGAATATTTTAAACTTCTAACACACTATTATGAATAAAGGCTTTTTTGTTTTTAATATCACAAGTAACTACATGTGGCCATTTTGTGTTTGATGATTAACATTATACCTTGGATGTTGCATCACACATAACATAAAATATTAAAACCCCAGTTTGAATGACTTATTTATTTATTTCAGTGCTGTAGGAAAACATAAAAATACTTTTCTTTTGGATAATATTTACATTCTTAGTCTATACATTCATTTGAGATTCAAAGACATTCAGGCCAGTTGTAACCTAAGCTTAATGAGAAAAACTAATAAACACAAAATGGACAAAACTATATCTATTCCTACTATTAAACCCTTAAGCACAGCTAGTGTGTTATTCTAAAAACTATTTTAACCTCAAGATCTTCTGCACAGAGTTGGAACATGACTGAAAAATTAATGAGGGAAATAAAAAGGACCAAATAAATGTACAAAAACTAGCTTTTATGTTGCCATCCTGCAGCTTTAATCCAAATCCTGTTACTTTAATCTCCATTTTCTGTGAATGATTCGTCCTCATACAAATCCTCCAACTCTCCTTCTCTGCTCCCTTCTCTGCTGATTTTCCTGTGGGAGACAAATGTTTTTTTTTTTATCTGTTGAACATATTAGGTAAAAATATAGTTTATGAGCATAAATGGGGGAAAGGAAGAAGACTAAACAAAAACAAGATGAGCTGAACTACAGATAAAGCGCCATGTACGAAGCTCAGCCTAAGATGCTTCCATAAAGCAGTTTACCTTAAGGATGGATGAGGCAGAGGCGAAGACCCCAGTAAGCCCCAAGATCCTCTGCAAGAAGGGGGTGGGATATAAAAGGAAGAGTTTATACCCCAAAAAACTTTATTATAGATACATTTTATTAAAGCATTGCTGCAGCAGTTTAAAGGTGACATCCAGATCCATGAGGCATTTATTGAGAGAATAAGGTGGGAAGTGTAAGGAAGGCAGGAAGTTAACAGTTTTTTACGTGTAAACAGATTGTAGTTTAGGGTTAGAATAAAGGATAGAAATAGTAGAAAGTACCTTTATTTTAAATTGCAAATGCCTGTGCCTTAACAGATAAATTAATACAGAAGGATGTAACGCTCAGAGTACATTTTAGATTGCGATGAGATCTCTGGGCAAACAAATCTACCAATATCAAAACCCAAAGATTGTTTCCACTTAAGTAAAGTCAGACTAGCAAATCTTTATAGCACATAAATTGTTAGTGTCAATATTTGGCCTTTTCTTGTGATGAACGATTTGACAAGATGCAACCATTGATTTGTTTGTTAACATAATCAGCCAAATACATCACAGAACTTTTTAAACATTTAAGCATCCAGATGTAGCGCTGCCAAAATGTCAGAGATCAATTATAGCATCAGCTTTTAGAAACTTGCTGACCCACTTCGTTATTTGCGTGCAATGATGTCTTGGTTATATAGAGAATGGTCTGAAGAGTGAGCTGCAGTTATAAAAACAAAAATGTTTTTTTTATTTCAGGGGTCAAAGGACAATAGGCTGATCTATGCTGAGAAGTAGATATGCAATGGTAGCTCAAATGACCAACATATATGAAATATCATCTCAAGAAAGCTTGCAGCAGATGGACTACAGCAACAGAGGAAATCAATTTCATCTAAAAATAGCAGCATGACAAAGATTTAAATTATTGGATTTTTCTCCATGTTTCCTAGTTCTTAATAAAAATAGAGCATCTTTGGGATGTGGGGAATGAGAGATGGACAGCTGAAAAATCTGCTGTTGCTGTGTCAACTTGGAGTCAGATCTGAGGTTTGTTTCTGACATGTTGTCACATCCATACAATGAAGCAGGGTCCGACCGGCCACCGGAAGATGCCCCGAACAAAGCATTTATGTTTTGAGTTGGCAATGCTATTATATTTCAGCTTTCATAAAGCTCCAACATAAGGCTGTTCTATAAAACACTTGCCTTCAACCTTTTATCATAAAAAGGTTTAATCAGGAAAACTTAAAACAGTTTTTACCACTAATTATCTTTTAAAATGAAAATGACTTAAAATGCTTAAGTTAAAATGACAAAAATAATAACTACCTAAAGTAGAAAAAAAATTTATTTGGTCATTTATTTGTTGACTAGCATTAAAATGATTTCATAGCAAATAATTAAATTATAAATCCTTTGATTTAGTGAAATAATTAAGTCATTGCGAAATATTTACCCCTGTAGAATGCCTCTCTTAGTTTTAAGGTGATTGTTACATTCAAATGAAATTTGAATGAAAGCACATAAGCTGTGTTGCACTTCACTTCTTCATTCTGCATTTGTATTGGAAAGGCCTCCATCTACTGGAGTATTTATGTCATATCATAAGATGTCACAAAAATATATATTCAGATAAGGAACAGTTTGAAATCATTACTGCAACCCTTTGGGAACAATCCTATCCTGAACTGTTTGAATCTACCATCATCGTCGAGCTTCAACGTTTTACAGGAGAATGAACTCTGCACTCAGTTTTAACAGTAGAACTTCAAACATTTTATGGGAAATGGACATCGAAGCTGTATTAACGGATGAAGAATAGTTTAAAAGATGGAAAATGTATTGGACAATATAGAGGGACTGTTTTTTTACAAAGTATAAGATACTACAAAGATACTACTGGGCTTCAGCAAAACATTTTAGACTGGGTCTGATGAGTAAATCATTATTTTAGAAGTGTTGGGAAGACACCAGATCTCTTATACACTGTGGGAATGTCCAGTCATTAAACCTTTCTGGCTACTAGTAGTATAAGTGATTGGTTAGGAAGAACTTTATCTCTTTGTCCTAGATTCTGTTTACTGAGCGAGAGAGAGCACAGAGAGCTAACATATCATGGGGGATAATCATGGTGGGGATGTCAGTGGCTGCCAGAGTTATTTTAACTCCTTGGAAAACCCAAACAATCCCAAATATTAAAGAACGGGCCAATAAGTGATGGAAACAGCTTCATATGAGTGCATGCTAAACAGGTTAAAAAAACAGGGACGCAACTGGAGTATCAGCATGGAATAAATTTTTGTCAAACATCCAGATAAATAATTTTCAGGAAGGGAAATTATTCTAACAATATGTTATTATGGCAATAAATCTTAATGAAGGTTTGAAGTGTCCAGGCTGGGTTGTTGGACTTCCGCATTTGACTTGTATTTCTATTTGAGAACTTCTTTTTTATCTAGTTTCTCAACACAGAATCAAAGCGTTTCACAAGTACACGACAGACAGTATGAAGCTCTTCAGAATCGGTGTTGGCATGCAGGCTATATGTGAGCGAAACACTACATGTAAAGAATGGAACTGATCTATTTTTAATCCAAGCATATGCTCGCTTCTTTGTTCTGTTAGAGGCCTAATCGCAGAGCTGGCAGATAGGAGCAGACAGGATTTACAGAGTAGGCTACTTACGTAAGAAGACCTCCAGGGGCAGACATGGACCTCTCTGCCCGCCGGCCCTGACACTCGAAAGGATTACTGAAAGAACGTTTCCTCAGCATGGCCTTCACAAGAATCTGCAGTGGACATTAGGAGTCTCAATGGACATGTAACATTTCTTTATCAGAGGCTAGTGAGACAACACTTTTCCAAATAAGGGATCAAATCTGTCATTTCCCTCATACAGTAGTTGATATTGACAATAATAAACAATATCTCCTTTTTTATCCTGGCAGTTTGCTCTGAATGGCAAATATATATATTTAAAAATCCTCTCAAACTTTGTTGCACATTTTCGCTTCATAAACATTAAATTTAGTGCATGTTATTGAGGTTTTATGATTAAGACCATCAGCGTCGTACATATGAAGAAAGGATGAAATGTATAACCATCCATGATCCCAGTCAGATACCGGATAAGGAACATTTACAAACACAATTTCTTTTGTTTCTAATAGATTTATAATTGGATTTAGTTCAAAACTTTGAATAGGCCATTCACACAAAAGACCCTTTATCTTGTAGCTCTCACTGTATGTTTTGGTTTTTTTCCAATTGGAAGTCAGACCTCTGCCTGACTGTAGTTTTTCACAGCCTTTAACAGCTTTTCTTTTAGTAGTACTCTGTATTTGGAGCTATTCATTTTCCCATTAGCTATTACCATCTTCCACATGCCTTATAAAGGAAAAAATAAAATACAATCATACAGTATGATGCCTCCATCACGTTTCAGTGGTTGTGTTTCCATGATGATGTATAGTTTATATTGTCTCTGATCCAAGATCATCTGCAGCGTAAATGCCCCTATGTGGTTTGTGGTAAATTATAAACAGCTTTTCTGATATCTTTCATTCATTTATGGCTTTCTTTTGTTCCTCCATGAAGGGAGTTAGGAAATTCTAGAGGTCCTGTTGAGGTTTTTTTTTCTACCTGATGTGTGAATCTCTGCAGCTCCTCCGGAGTTATCAAAATCCCCAAAACACAAAAGAAGCTTGTGGTTGTTGGATAAAAGGCTTCAGGAGGTTTAAAGATATTTGCAAGGTTAAAAGATATTTGTTAACCTTGTTAGAAGTTCCATGCAAAACACATTTCAAGTGTTGCACAGCATTGCTGGCTACCATACACACTACAGCACAAGGAAAATTAAAGATGGCATTTCTGAGCAAGGAAAACTTCTCCCAGTGGGTAGGTGGTGGACGGTGTGTAGCTCACCACGGCAGACAGGCTGGGGATGAGTTTCACACTGTTCTGCACCTCCTCGTCAGTGACCTCCACCGCTGCACAGTGCTCCTCCTCCAGAGGGAGAGGATTCGAGCCATTTTCTGTTACCCAAGGATGGAGCTGCAACACACACACACACACACTATGGTAAACAAGCTTACACTGCAGTAAAGCAATGTGTAGAGTTCCCAGGCTCACCTTTATTTCAGGTATGGTGATTCTTGTTTCAGGGTTTTTATCCAGCATTCTTTCAATGAGATCTCTCAAATCATTGCTTATTGAAGGGCTGTTAATAAAGGAGCAACAAAAAGCATTTGTCATAGAATCTGTTAATCTGTCTGATTTGAGCGCTCTATTATAACTTAAATGCAATCCCACATGAATTACAATAGCAGCTATCTATGGAGTTAAAACCTGTACCGATTTTAGGGATATGACCTTTCCTCTTCCTAATCTGGTATTTGATGTTTAACACAAACAGAAAATTGTAATTGTATTGCTTCTGATGCTAAGACTGGAGGGAGACTCCATCCACTAGCCTGCATACCTCGTTGATATGCTTAAGTAAGCGTGATTTAACTGGAAGTAAACGGAAAAATGCTGTGCAATATATAGTGTTTGTAATATTATCCATATCAAAATTACCTTTGTGACGATAATTTGTTGGGCAGCTCCTAAATCTATGCAGTGTTGAAAAGTCTGTTTCATTCTTTTTATTTTTTTCATTTATGAAGCAACGAGTGCAGAAGTAATGCAATGGAAGAAGTCCCTTTCAAAATAAAAGCTGCTTTTTAAAAGAAATGCATGTTTAATTTTTGCACATGCAAATATTGACATTTTTTAAATGGTTGTTTTAATTTTAATTTGACCAATACAAAAGGACTAGTTGTTGCTCAGGAGTCGTAAAATGCCCCGTCAACAACTGGATATCTAACATAAGGGGTTTAAAACCATAAATTATTGCTGCTACAAAAGGTTATTCTTGACCTCCATCTCTGATGATGCAAATCAAAGAAAACAAACGCCACCCTTATAAAAGAGGACTAAATCTGCAGGGTTCTTTAACTGGTTAAGGAAATGTTAAATAAAATAAATCAAATTAGAAAATAAAATATAAGCTGATACATTTAAAGTTAATGAAAAGAAGAGGAGTTTTGAGCAGGAGGATTGAAAAACAAAGATTGCTTTTAATGTTTAACATTATTAGATGTAATATTATTCCTTTTAGTGTGCATCCTGTTTACAACTAAGGACAAATCACAAAGTTCAACTAAGCAAATTGAGTAAAACAAAAAAGGCAATTATTTGGCTTTACAAACAAAACAGAACTACCTGAAATACAAAGAAAATGCACTGAAATGACAGAATCAAACAGCAAACTTAACATCTATTTTTTAGATCATCTAGTTTTTACATATGCATATATATATATACATATATATATATACATATACATATATACATATATACACACATACACACATACATACATATATATATATATACAGAAGAGTTATATGTGCATATATTTTATCTCTTTTATTTTTATCTTTATTATCTTGTGTTGTTGGATGTGTGTCTATATATATAAAACTGTAACTGGAGCGTGTAACAAAAGTAATTTGCCTCTGGGATTATTAAAGTATTTCTGATTCTGATTCTTATTCTGATATGGACCTAAATCAGTGGCTGCCTGTATTGATAATACAGGGAATATAATTACAGAGATTTGGTATTGTAAAATCAAATACTGTAAAATCAAACACTGTAAAATCAGACATAGTAAAATGAAACATTCTGAAACAAATATCGCCATTAAAATACGTGACTATAAAAAGAAACGTTGACACTAATAATGTCATAATGTTTCTACACTGCTACTCTGTTTTTCAATGAGAAATGTTTTTAGCGTCACTGCACTTGTGCTCCTTTGAAATAGTGCAAATCAAGAGAACTTAAATGATAACATAAGATAAGTACTGTCAAAATAGCGCTGGTAGTAAGGACAGAGCAAACAACAAAAATACATTATTTCTTCACATGTACTCTGTGCGACAAAAGCGTCTTTATATGTTTTGTGTTTTTTTACTCTAGCGCTTCAGCCGTTCACTACATTTGTGTAATTTTTGCTTTTTGCAGTTCTCTTTTGGAAGGCTGTAGTCCCAATTTGACCAGCATTATCTCTGTATGGGTATTTCATGTAATGATCTCCATAAGGCCAAAGGCTATCTGGATTTAGCACAGCAGTCTGGAGTTCCTTTACTGAATACTGTTCTTAAGGTTGATCCGGCAAAAGATGAAAGGATAGGAGGTAGGAACAGGAGGTAGGAGCTACAAACTGAGACATTTAGAAGGACCCTTGCTTTAAACTCTTAGAAAGATAGGAGCATATGGCAGCCAGGGTCTTTCAGTAGTAAATATCTATATAATTAACTACAGATTAAAAAAGATATATTAATCAACAGAAAACTTTTAGACTCTCCAAAACAGGGACACTGATGTCAGCCATGGCTGCCTGTTATTGCTGCAGCACCTGATCAATCCACTTAGTATTCATGTGAGTGAAGTTAGCACTAGGTTCAAATGAACTATTGTTCATAAAATTATGGACCAATTACATAGCTAATAATGAAAATAGTAATAGATTAAAGAATCTTTTCTATAGCTGAGGACTGACATCTCTCTTTTACTGAAAAAAGGTGCAGCTTAAAAAGAGAGAATAATCATATAATCGTCAGTGTTGCTGTTTCCTTTTATTATGAAAAGTTTCAGTCACAATGTTGGATTCTACTATACCAAATCTGTTTTTCAGTGTCAGTGTAAGAGATCAGTTATATAGCACCATAAACAGCATCATAGAAGATGAGAGCATGTTACCATGACAACAGGAATAAAGGGTTAATTTAAAATCACTGATAATTTTAACAAAAACAAAGTAAAAGGTCAGGTAAGCAGCATGGCTTCTTGTTTCAGAGCTTCTATAGTTTATGATCATCTTTGAAAGCTTTTAGTCAAGATTTAGTTTTATTTGCTTACTTTTCTGGAAACTCCACAGCCTCGTTCTTGATCTTATTGTGCAGAGAAATAACGTAATCATCATAAAATGGGCACTGGAAGAAGACAAGTAGGTTACAAATGATAGACAAAATAGAAATAAATATTAGATTTCTCATACAAGCATCCTGCAGGTAACATTACCTCCCCAAAGACAAAGCTGTACAGTGTGATCCCCATCGCCCACACGTCTAACGCCTGTGGAACAAGCACACCAACTGATAAGCTTCATGTTTACAGTCTGTCAGTAAATAAACAGTGTCCACTGATTGACAATTCACCTTTCCATTGAAGCTCTGCTCTTGCCCTTTTATCATCTCAGGGGCCATAAAGGCTGGCGTCCCCGCCGTGCCTGACAGGAGGGCGTCCGGCCCCTCGAACTCGTTGCTGATACCGAAGTCTGCGATCTTAACATGACCATCATCCCCGAGCAGCAGGTTGGAGGGTTTGATGTCTCGGTGGATGATCTTATGGTAGTGCACTACACACAAACACACACACAAAAGCACACCCATACACACAGAAGAGAGTTGTTGTGGATCATATGGTGAAAAATACAATAAAAAAAAAAAATCTTAAATGCATCCACAAAAATGAGAATTCAAAAATTCCATAAAATAGACATATTATAAAATTTTAGATGAGAAAAGGAATGAGAACATATTTGTTAATGAAACAACAGAAGAAAAAATCAAACAAAGCAAACTTTAGCATTAAAAAAACTAGAAAATAACTCAGAGGACAGATGTCCGCCAAGCAGCAACTTTTGCCCCGATTTGTGACCTACACCTAAAACTCACACATGATGTGGATCATTACCAAATTTTAATGAATTATTCCTTGGCATGAGGCACACCTGTGGTATCAATATCCCTAAAATCCTTTCCTAAGTTTATAAATAAGGCACAGTGTGTGTCTGCAGCCTCTGGTGTCTGTTCTGCTTTCTCCATCATTCACTCTGCTTTCTTTCTTTCTTGTTTGTTCAGCAGATCGAGAGTTCAAGTGTGGCATGGCTCAACTTTACTGTGTTTTTATCTTCAGTTTAATACTTCTGGACTTGTTTGAGACTGATGCTGAAGCTGTCAATAGTCAACTTAAAAATCCTGCATCTGGATTATGATGTAAGTCTTCACCAAAATTTAATGGACTCTTCCTTAGACAGAGGTGCACCTCTGATAAAAAATCTGTTCATAACTTTTTAAGTTATCCTGTACACAGACGGAAAAACACACAAAATCGCCTAAAAACAAAACCTTCTTGGCAAAGGCAATAATCAAGTTGAAACGGATCTAAACAATTATTTACCGATGAATTAATACATAGCTGAGTTGTTTAAAACCATGGAAACTTTTCTAAATTTTCATGATTTACCTGGTTGAATTATCTCTGTAAAGTAGCTTGAGATGACAATGGATATTTTCATTGCATTTCATATAATTTTTAAATAACTAAGACATTGAAATATTTCAATCAGTTTTCTTGTCTTGTCTAGTTCTGATGAATTTTTATCAGGTATTTATGTAATGTAAATCCCTTTATTGTCCGATAATGGGGAAATGTGTTCTCCGCTCAGTGGGCTAACCCACTAGGCCAACACTCCCCACATTATAAATTTATGTGTGACAACTCTTATCACTGGAAAACTTAATCTTCAAGTAAGTCAACTTTTCTTGAAATAAGTGTATTTTTCCTTGATTTGAGCAGGTAAGGACAACAATTTTCCAATAAAATAAGAGATTTATGCTTAAAATCAAAAATGGACCAGATTACCTTATTTTAAATGCATGGCATCTTATTAGCTTATCTAAAGAGCAAAAACACGCCTTCTGTTGGCACATCATGTTTTTTACCTTCTTAAATACAGAAATGTATAAAGGTTTTTACTTATTTTGATCCGTTAATAGTATAAACGAGGTACTTCTATTATTTAAAGAAACTGTAGTTCACTACAAAAATAATATCCCCTCGCTAAATACAACATTAATTAATGTATGTGTCGACCCATGACTGAAACAAGAGTTAATCTGACCCAAAAGCTCTTAAAGAAATCCTGCCGAGTCCTTTTTTTACTCACAGTACTCTATTCCCAGGACGACATCTCTGAAGTAAAAGCGCGCCTGCTCCTCAGTTAAAGGGTTGTCTGTGGGCACCTCCAAGACCGGACTGAAGTGACGAGAAGTAAAAACCAAAAATGAATCTTATTGCATCGTATGGTTGCCTCCTCTGACTTCTAACACTTCAAACTAATTGAATAATAAACAAAACATACCCCTCTTTCATCAGTTCGAAGGCTTAAGAACAGTACAATCTGAATTTAATGATTATCCTGAATTATTTTGCCACAGTAGACAAAGTAAATGCTTCCCTACCCATGTGAAGTCCATCTTCCTCAGGATCATCCAGCACCTGCAAGATATATAAACACTATATGTTAGTTAATCATTTTTTTTGGTACTCTATAAAAACAGAAATAGCACTTATGAGGAATTACATTTGTTTCTATTTGACAAAAGGTGTCCATTGAGTTTTGCTTAAAAAAAAAATTTATGCACTTTGTTCTGTGGTCTGATTTTTCTGATCATATCTTTTAACTTGTCACTGTCTCACTCACCTCTACCAGTTTAACTACGTTTGGATGGTCCAGCTTCTTAAGGATGGCGATCTCTCTGTACACTCTCTCCAGCGGCTGCATGAATTTGGGGATTTGCTGACAGTTTGATCCCTGAGGAGGAAGACGACCTGGAAGTACAAGTCCACACAAACAACCCCGGTCTGAAAGAAAGTCATTTTGACCTTGGGCTTTTAATGAGCTATCTTCTACATCCCTGCTTGGCATGAGGGATTTCTCCACAGCTAACAAGTCAGGCTAATCCAAATGGTCCTGTTGCCATTGCCAATGGACTTTTGTTAATGATCACTGGGTAAAACAGGAAGTGTTTAGGCATCACTACCATTTAGAACACATATAAACTGTATTATTGTCGAATTGAGGTAATTAAAGGAGTATTTCATACTTTTTTTTCTGTTTCACATAGTGAAATGTATCAGCAACAGTGGCAGAAATGAGTCCACATAAAAAAGCTGAACACCACGCTAGACAATTGGCTCAGTTAAGAACAATTACCCAATCTACTTCAGAATACATTATTTCATTATGGCCAAATCTTTAAATGTTTATCCCTTAAACATAAATCTTTTTTTCCAGCAGCCATTTGTACAGAAGCAGTGAAAGGAAAGAGAGAAAAAAAATCTGGAAATGAAAAGTTAGATTTTTTTTCCCTCTCATTTTATTTAAAAAAAACCTTGTTAGATTTCTAGGTTTTTCTGTTTTCTCCACAAAACAACGCATGAAAAAAACAAAGTTTTAGTTTAAACTTCTAAGTCTTCAGGCGCTGCAAGAGAGAATTTTTTTTTTCTTTTACTATCTCATCACAAAAGATTATATCTAAGATCCAACTATAAACATCAAACCTCCTTATCAGCCGGTATACAGAGAGCTCTAACTCTGACCTGCATCTGATGCGAGCCTCTGCTTCTTTAAAACCACCACTGTGAATTGAACAGAAGCCTTGTTTTTTGCTATTTTTTAACGTCTCCAAATTTAGTATTTTTAAGTCAAAAGTCTTGACTTATATAACTCCAAATGTTTTTTAGGGTCAAACAGATGTTTTTAAATCAAAATATAACTTCCTGCACTCACCTACAATGTAGCTGGAAGCACCACCCATATGATGGACATATTAGGTATTACAAAAACAAACAGTAAAATGAGTTGGTGAGGGAAAAAAAAAAATCCTCTCTTACAAGACTTGAGGAAAAAAAAAAGATTTTAGAAATTTCAACCGGGATTTTTTTTTTTTCTGGCCTTGTGTTGGAGAAAAAAAGATAGAAATCTAACCAAGTTTTATTTTCTTTTTTTTCCCATTGTGTTGGTGGAAAAAAAAAAAAGAAGAAGTTTAATCCAGGATTTTTTTTCTGATTGTAGATATGTAGAAAAAAAGACTTAGAAATCTAAACTAAGAGTTTTTCCCCCACTCAGTTCTTTGATGTTTGATTTTTTTCTTCTTGCCTTTCAGCGAAGACAACACAAAAAAACGATAGTTGGCCCTTTTTTAAACCTTATACCTGTACATGTGCTGTATAGAGGAAGGAGAGCTCTGCACTACTGACTGTTTGCAGTCTGTATCCATCCTAATATTTAGATTATAATATGGAGATTATGTATCTATATACAGTAGCAGCCATTCAAAATGATCCTTCCCAGTCAAATGCCAGCCGAATGGCAGCACACTTCCTGCAAAATCCCCTCCAACTTCCAGCCACTTGGCGTGCACATTTTTTTTACTCTGACTCCACCCTTGCACTGAATTACAGCGTCTGACCAGGAGATGATGCTACTCTTTAGATCTTAATGTCCACAAATCATGACAGAAAGAATATTCTAGTACAAAGATTGATGTTTAAAAAGGAATTGAAGGGGACCAGCCAAGAACCCATCAAGGAAAGTGGGGACATTTTGAATGGCTACTACTATACAGTAGTTGCAGCAGGAGGTATGGTTAAAAAGCATTAATTCAACACCAAGAAACAAATGTTATTTCACTCACGCAGAAATCCACACAGCTTCATCAGCCTCTTCTTTGACACTACCTTCATCGCCTGATTAAGAAAAAATAAGTTAATGATGTTTTCATAAAGCCACAGTTAGTTTTAGGACATTTAAAGGCTCAACCTACGTAGTGCTGTTCAGAATCCTCATTATAGGCTAGCTTCACCACTCCATATGAGCCCTGCAAGAAACAATTAGACTAGTTTTGTAACTAAACAATCATCAATGACAACAGTGTGTTTTTAAATGGATGTGTCACCTTTCCAATCTCTTTCTTCAGTTTGTACTGGTTTAGCTGGAGACAGTCCTATACAGGTGGAATGGAAAGTTTCAATCTCAGAGTCTCATTTTATGCCCAGGTACAGTAAGTCTGAAACAGTATGAGTCTACTCACATCTGCGTCGGTGATGGACACCCGTTTGGTCTCAATGGTTGGCTGTCGGGCCACGCGGCTCCCCCTCTCCTGCAGAGACATCTTCCTGTCTGCGAGGCGGGCCCTGTGGCCTGCGGCTGACCTGTGGGCTGTCGGCCTGAAGCCGTTAGTAGGGGATAAGCGGTTGGGAGCTACGTTTATGGATGCCATCATGTCGGCAAGCTCGCCCTGGGGATCTAAGTCCATTTCTGGTTTGTCAGAGCTCATGGTTTCCCTTGTAGTTCTGCGTTTCCTCACAGTTTAATGTCCCACAGATGGCTCAGTGGGGTCGGCAGACAGGGCATCACTGCATCCCTGAGGAGGAAAAGCATCAAGAAGTAAATCTGAAGTGTTGTATGGAAATCATATGAAAAGACGCAAAAAGTCCCTAAATTATTACTTTACAACCCAAACCTTGATGGCCCAGTTAGTTTCCTACTAGTCTGATTGCATTAGGTACCATTTTTAGGCCTTAAACTTCTAGCCTAAAGCTTAAGAGGCTGCAATACTTAACATCATCGTCGGCATACAAAAGGACAATTCCATAGTAGAGTAATCTTTGGAAACAAGTCCTGTCAATGTGAACACAACTTTAATTTTGGTTGCTGCTTTTCTGAATCAAGGGTCTGTGGATGAATGAGGTCTGTATCTTTGAGCGAGGATCATTGGGGCTCCTCTTCCCTTCATTAAACACATTTCATTCCAGCTGCCCTCTGGGAAGAGGCTATGCAGCATTCAATGCAGGACCTGCAGGTTCTGAAACAGTGTTTTTCCTGCTGCCATCAGACTGCTAAACTGTTTGCTTTTATCATTCTGGTGCTTGTAGCTTTGATTACGTACATAAAAACCCTTAACATCTCGTTTCTGCTGCCACGAACAGTAGCAGAAAACCACCAAGAGTTGACCATGCCAGAGGCAGCTGTTTCCAGTGACATCACATTGCCGGTGTACGGGGGTTTTCTGCTGGTCTGACAGCAAAATAATATTTCAAGGCAGGATCATGATCTTGATGAAATGACTGCACAGATTATGTTTTGAGGTTGACTTTCTTACTTAAAAACATATTAAAACTACTTTTTTCCCACTTATAACAGCAAATATAGCAAAGCCGCTCCCTGCCAATGAACAAGAGCAGCAGAAGCATCAGATGCATCTGAACACACTTTACTGGATACTCTTCAGGAGCATCGAGGATGCTCTTGAGTTGAACCATTATGTGCACAAGCATCAAAAATGAAGCAGCAGATGCTTTTTTGCTGCTTCAATCGCGTGCTGTCTAAATGTAGCATACGTTTCTTAAAATAAAAGATAAAGAAAGTGCATTTTTATTCTTTCTTTCAACAAACGGTTGATTAAATGGTGATAGAGGATATATTGGGAGAAGACGACTCAGAAAAAAATTAACACATCTTAAATTTGAGCTCAGTAAATTAAAACATTGTTATATTCCTTTTAAACATGATGGAGCTTCCCCTCAATCACTCAACACGAACTAACCTTTGCTATGAATCCTTTTTCTTTTACAATCTGCGGCTGTAACATTTGGTTCTCTTTAGCATTCTATTGCTTTTTATGACAACAGCATTGCTGACAACAAGCTCACTAAGAGGAAAACATTCAACTTAATGCTGTAACTACTACAGCAGCAACAATTAACTGTGAAATGAGTAAAACAATTATCTATGCAGGTTCAAATGAACCCCTGCATGTTATTAGCTAAATTCTCAACCAGCTGGGTACTTTGGGGGGAAAACAAAGACCAAAGATAGATTTTCACATTTGTCTAAGAATAATAAGGAACAGATTTTCAACAGAAAATGTGAAATTTCCATCCTGTGTCCAGAGCCTATCAGTAGATCACAATCCCCTCTCTGTGAACGAGACTCACTGTTACCTAATATACTGTACAAAGAACTGAAAAGCCTCTTATGTCACTTAGTGGGAAGCTTTAACTGGCTTGTAACGTCATATTTACACAGAGCACCAGACTCCCATACATATACACAATGTTTACAAATGCAGTCTGATGCAGCACATTGGGACATTAAGGAGAGTTCATGTTCTGTTTTCCTATTTTCATGAACTGAAGGAAAACACATGAACTTTTCAGATTTTCTTTAATATTAGCCTTAAAACTAATAGAAATTGGAGCTAAAAGATTTACTCACAGGTTGGAGGCATCCTGTTCCCAAGGTTGTTTTTGTGAATCGGCATGCTGATGGCAGCAGAGGCTCCTCTTGCTCTGCAGGACGTTTACTGAAGCGCGGTCAGGGACATCAGCAGTGTACGTCTTAGGGATTAACTCAGGCTACATATAGATGAAGCAGAGTTATTTTGAGGACAGATGGACACTCAGTTGTGTTTATACAATGACAGCACCATAAAAAAACAAATATGGTGCTGTCATTGTCAAGCAGGCACTGCTTCATAATAATTTCTATCTAAATATAGGCAGTATTGTTAATTTTATTTCATATATTTGATCAGATTGATTGAGTTTTGACAAAAGGGAGAAACAAATCCCAATGCTATTTTTACAGAAATGTTAAACTACTGTATGTATAATTTTCTCTTTAGGTCAGTCTCATTCTTATCATCTATTATTTAAATCAAATTTATTATGTATTCATTTATTCAAGTTTGTAAATTTAAGAGTGGAATAATACTGTAAAAAAAAAAGCATAATTCTCACCTAATCTAAATACAGAAAATAATTTGAATTGTGGGGCTGGTGGTTGGATCAAGACAATAAATCTCATGTTGAAATAAATCTAGAGCCTTTATTAATTTAATCACAAGTCAATATTAACAAGACCCAATCCTATGGTTTAAAGTGTTTTTCAAATCCAGACTCAAAACTTTCCTGTTCAGACAGTCTTTTCCCATCTAGTTCATATGCATCACTTCAATATTGTTTACTTACTTTTCTTCCTTTGGCTTTATTTTACTTCCTGCTGTTTTGTTTTCTGCGGCATCTTTATGCTTGTACTTTTTAGCTTCTTGTTTTTAATGTTTTATCTGCCTGTACAGTGTCCTTGGGTGTTTTGATAAGGCGCTTTCAAATAAAACGTATTATTATTATTATTATTAAAGTCTCAATCATTAACAAGTCATAATGAGTTATCCCTGATACCTTACTGAGAATAAGAAAAAAAAAGATTGGGATCAATATTTAATTTCCAATGTTATTTAACATGGTAGTTGTTTACTTTAAGGAGAGACTCAAGAAATTTCAAGAAAAGATGCTCAAGTCAGTCAAATCACAAGTTGTAAGGAATTAAGTTGAGCTAAAGCCACAAAATGTTTCTAGTTTAACCAACTGAGATCTCAAGTAATCAGACCAGTGACTTGAGTCAGACCTCCAATATGAACTGCACTGTTGTCCCAAACACACCACCTGAAAAAGCCTTCCTGTGTAACAGACATGCAGTGGCAATATGGAGTTACAGTACATGACAACTTCCCACTGACTGCATGCAAAACAAACAAACAGCACAAATTTGTGAAACTAACATATATTTATTTATCTATTGCTTGTGTGCCGGCTGCTTACTAATACTGCCCAACTGGCCAGGTGCCCTGCAGAGAAAAAAAAAAGCAGAAAACTGCCCCTGACCTGTTTTAAAGTTTTGTTAAGAGTCATTTTGATTATGTTTTGAGATCCCTTTTGTTAGGATATGGATAAGAATAATCATCCTCATTCAGTAGTTTCAGTTATCCGTTTGTTAGAATAGAGATACTCTGCAGCTTATATAGATAGACAAACATTCTTCCCCTGTGTGGGTTTATTGGAAAAATCTGTAAGTGGATTGATTAGCATGCTTCAGCAACATGGGTATCAGATGATAGCCATACATTAACACCTATTTCTACTGATGTCTTGTGGAGAAGTGAACATCCTTTGTTGGGGTGTACCCAGCTGTGATGCATGATGCAATACTCTTGGTTCTTTCTGCAACTGCATTATCTGGCTGGAGTCTCAGCTTTGATCTCTGTTATCATTTCTCTATCTTTTATCTGAAATAATAAAAAAAAGAGTTCAGTTTAAGAGTTGTCACTTTAATACGTAGAGGCTTTTGACAACAGACACAGATCCCTCAGCTGTAATACTACATAATGTAGGCTTGTTTAAAGAATATAAATATTTTGGCATCACTATGATTGTTTTAGATTCTGAGATTCATTTTCAAACATTTTGAATACTTCATAAAAGGTTAATCTGACTGACTTGCTTATAGTATCCATTCACCCAGTGAGATGAATCACATCGTTTTAATAACTTACCACAACTGACATTTCAATTTTTATCCACAAGAACATTTTCAAGTGAAAAGCAACTTTACAGGAAATAAAAAAGGCTCCAAATGTTGTCATGTCTCTCAAAATATTAATTTGATAAATAGAACAACTTTTTACTAACACATAAAGATGAAAAAAAAAAATTACCAAAACATTGATCACAATGGTCTTAAAAACTATGACAATTAGTCTAATGTTTAAAGCTGTGTTTATTCATATTGGTGATGAATTTTATGCTCTAAAGGATTTGGCATCAGAACAAGGAAAGAATCCCTCCATCAAACTTTATACCACAGCCTTATCCTGCTTGTGCCCTGTGCTATCCTTTGTATTTCAAAGAGAAACGGTGAACATTCCTATCTTGTCATTTTCATTTTCAGAGTCAGTAACTGATTCCTTTTGATGGAGGGTTGAAATAAAAACAAGTTAAAGGCCTAAAGGTCAAAGGTGGCTTGAAGGAATATAATTTAGATAAACTTAGAATTATCATTCAAGGCAAACCTTGGAAAGATTTGAGACAAACTGTGTTTAATACACTGCTGCTAAAGCTGCTTTCTTTTGTTTAATTTCTTTGGTATTTTAGCATTAAGTTTTATTGTTTTGGAAAAATGCAAAACCTTGCTTTTAATTCTGCAAGTCTGTCTGTGCTCTCATTCTTCTGATATGCCTGTGGAGATTTAAATATAGGGTAAAATGTAATTACCCTAACTGTACAAGATGCTTCAATAAATTAGATTATGTTTTTTCAGTGTTACATTAAAAACATGTGGGTCGTTTTCCTGCTTCAGGATGAAATACTTAATCTAAAAATGTCTAGCCCAGCTGTTAAAAAAAAAAAAAAAGATTAAAATGGCCTGGAGTTATACACATGTTGTTCAGAGTTTCAGTGTGTTACAGCTGGCTTTATTTCTTTCCCTGTGTTCAGTTTTGTGTTCCTGATTTCATTTTGTAATTACAGACTTTTAAAAAGAGAAAAAACAACAATAATTTAAACTGCTGCTGAAAATCGTCTTACTTGCTAGAGGTATGTAAGGGATTTCAATTTCAATTTGATATACAGGGGGGTACGGAAAGTACTCAGACCCCTTTTAATTTTTCAGTTTTTGTTTCATTGCAGCATTTTGTTAAAATCAATCAAGTTCATTTCATTTCTCAGCAATGTACACTCAGCAACCCACATTGACAGAAATGTATAAAAAAAAAAGTAAAACTGAAATATTACATCGTCATAAGTATTCAGTCCCTTTCCTCTGTATTTAGTAGAAGCACACCTTTGAGCTAGTACAGCCATGAGTCTTCATGGAAAGATGCAACAAATTTTCACACCTTGATTTGGGGATCTTCTGCCATTCTCTCTGGTAGATCCTCTCCAGTTCTGTCAGGTTGCATGGTGATCGTTGGTAGATAACAATTTTTCAAGTCTCTCCAGAGATGCTCAATTGGATTTAGGTCAGGAATGGTCACAGAGTTGTTCCCAAGCCACTCCTTGTTATTTTAGCTGTGTGCTTTGGGTCATTGTCTTGTTGGAAGATGAGCCTTCGGCCCAGTCTGAGGTCCTGACCACTCTGGAAGAGGTTTTCTTCTAGTGTATCTCTGTACTTGGCTGCATTCACATTTCCTTCAATTGCAACCAGTCGTCCTGTCCCTACACCTGAAAAACACCCCCATACCATGATGCTGCCATCAAGTTTCACATTTGGGATTGTACTGGGCAGGTGATGAGCAGTGCCTTGTTTTCTCCACAAATACCGCTTAGAATTAATGCCAAAAAGATCAATCTTGGTCTTACCAGACCAGAGAGTCTTTTTTCTCATAGTCTGGGAGTCCTTCATGTATTTTTTGGCAAACTCTATGAAGGCTTTCATATGTCTTTACTGAGGAGAGGCTTCCGTCGGGGCCATTCTGCCATAAAGCCCAGATGGGTGGAGGGCTGCATGGGTAGTTGATTTGTGGAACTTTCTCCCACATCCCTACAGCATCTCTGGAGCTCAGTCACTGTGGTCTTTGTGTTCTTCTCTCGCTCACCAAGGCTCTTCTTCAACGATTGCTCAGTTCGGCTGGACAGCCAGGTCTAATAATAATAATAATAATGAATTTTATTTATAACGCATTTTACATTTGACTTCAAATCTCAAAGTGCTACAAAAATTAAAACAAGTTTAAAAGACCATAACATTAAAAACAGAGTAAAAAGACAGTCATTCAAATCAATACATTAAAAGGCATACATAGCCTATTAAAAAATCTAAAATCAACAATTGTAGGCATTTCTAAAAAGGAAAGTTTTTAGTCCTTTCTTAAAACAATCCACCGTCTGTGGGGCCCTAAGGTGGTCTGGGAGGGCATTCCACAGACGGGGAGCTGCGGCTTCGAAGGCCCTATCGCCCATTGTTTTTAGCCGTGTCCTGGGTGGGGCCAGACGGTGCTGTTGGCCTGACCGGGTCCGGGAAGAGGTGTGTGGTGTGAGCAGTTCAGTGAGATACGTGGGGGCCGCACCGTGCACACAGTGATGGGTGTGCAGAAGAATCTTGTACTCTTTACGGGCGTGAATGGGGAGCCAGTGTAAAGTGTGAAGGATGGGATGGTCTAGGAAGAGTTCTGGTCGTCCAAACTTCTTCCATCTAAGGATTATTGGGGCCAATGTGCTCTTAGGAACCTTGAGTGCTGCAGAAGTTCTTTGGTAACCCGGCCAGATCTGTGCTTTGTCACAATTCTGTCTCTGAGCTCCTTGGGCAGTTCCTTCCACCTCATTATTCTCATTTGATCTGACATGCTTTGTGAACTGTAAGGTCTCCTATAGACAGGTGTCTGCCTTTCCTAATCAAGTCCAATCAGTTAAATTAAACACAGCTGGCCCAAATGAAGAAGCAGAACCATCTTAGAGAGGCTCAGAAGAAACGGACAGCATGTGAGTTACATATGAGTGTCACAGGAAAGGGTCTGAATACTTATGACCATTTGATATTTCAGTTTTTCTTTTTTAATAGATTTGCAAAAAAAAAAAATTCTACATTTATGGGTTTATGTTCCAAAAGGCTTCTGGTAAACCACTAGCCCCACAGATGGAATTCTGTGTCACTGAATGTCGTAGCTCTCTTTTTTCTATATATTTTTTTATATTTACATGTATTGTTGCAATTCTATATTTTATGCTGTAAATCTAATGGTTTAAAGAATTAGTTAAAACACTTTTGAAAAATTGGACCTTCTAATTCCAAATGTCAGTAGTATAAATGACAGCCACTGAAAGGAGAACATTTCATTGGCTGGCAACTTCCCCGTGACCAAACCCTCTGGAGGGGTGAGTCGCTGTTCAAGAAGACAGCCTCATTTAATCATTAGATGAGTATAAAACTTGATCCTGAAAAGATAACATTATTTTTCTCTGCACTGTATTGTGTGAGAGGCTGCCAGTTTCCTCATTTAGATAAGTTCACCTGGATACCCTTAATCTTTCTAACACATGCCCTGGGTCATTACGGCATAAGTTATTTATTAAATTGTATGTCAGGTGAGAAAATCAGCAATCAGCTGATCAAACATAATGTTCACAGCTGAGGTTTATAAAAACAGTATCATCTAAAAATACAGACTGATAAATCAAGCTAATTTATCTTCAAAATGTGTCTTCTTCTTATGACTGAGAGCTTCTTTGGGCCAGCTGAAGAGCAGTGCTTAGCAACAGTTGGGAGACAAGCAGCAGTGCATTACTTGAAACTATTATGATCAGGATTTCCAAAAAGTCTCATTAGTACTACAACAACTTTTAACTCTTTAATTTTTAAGCGTCCAAAAAACTGTTGAAACATTTTATTTGAAAAAAAAAAAAGGCACAAAAGTAAGTTGACTGCTTCAACACTTCTATAGTTTTAATAAATGATTTACTATTTAATGTTGGGGTATTTCAGAGTATTTGAAAGAACTTCTTCTTACTGGATCCTTTACCTGAAACCTGAAAATAAGCCGACATCCAAACCTGCTGTGGTCCTGTTGAACTGGTAGAGGCAGAACCACATTAAACTGTGTTAGTCTAATCTTAATATTCAGACTTTTCAGAAAGGGTAACTGTGCTGACATGCTGAATAACTTTTAAAAGTTCTGATCCAACACATTAATCTGATTGTTTTAATGGTCATAAAGTTCCTCTGGTTATCAAACTTTTTCTAAAATAATAAGTTCAGTAAAAACACAAAAAAAACGTTACAATTATTACATTAGTAATGATCATCAATCATTCCTGAAGAATGGCCTTTCAAGAATGGCTTCTCTGGTTAAATACTTTGCAACTGTTCACTACCAACATTCCAGCTGTTAACCAGCAATCAAACTGTTCGGATCCAATGCTCCCAGGAGCGCTGAAATCTCATCACAGCTCTCTGAATCTGCTCGTAGCTGACAAACATCACTATGTTCCAGGATCCAAGGCGCAGGAAGGAAGGCATAAAGCTAGAAAAAAAAGAAACATATGATCACTGAGCTTTTGGATTGAATCTCCTGGTTTTTAACAAAGACACCTACCCCTTATAGAAAGCTGAGGGCCCCTCCTGAAGCAGCATTGTCAGAGCGCATTTTACGGCACCGCTATACTGCCCAGGAATTGAGTTCATGAAGCGGGTTTTTACCACATCCACTGGAGACGCAACGATTGTGGTGCAGAAGCCTGCTGCGAAGGCTGCAGTGAAGTGACAAGGCATGCTGTCTGCAGAGAAAAATACAGCAAATACTTAAATAAAGTCTGCAAACACTCATGAGGGATCAACAGAGGAAGGGCAACTACCTGTCATCAGTTTGCTCTTCAGGATTTGCTCTTTAATAATGTCATACGTCACCAGCTCGGAACAGTTCACAATTGCGTTGCGAGTTATGTTCAACAGACATCCTAAACAAAATAAGTTTTATATAAATTAGCAGGGGAAAGAAAACAGAAGGAATCAAGGCATAAACACCTAAATTGAAAATGCATAATGGTCATTGCACACCGAGATTGTTTTGGTACCAGACAGGGTTTCAGGCTGGGGGTGGAGAAAGAGAACACACCTCCAAACTGTGCATACTATCCCTGCTCAGAGACTAAACCAAAACGGGATGGAGGAGAAGTGAAAATGCGTTCATAGGATTATTTATACAATGATTATAGAATAAGCATGAAAGCTTTGCAGTTTATTAGCTCTCAGTGAAGAATACTTTTTACTGGTGGCATGCCGGGTAATGGTACGGTTGTGTTGCACGCACCTTTTGGTATTTGCTTTCCCCCCTTTAATAATCCAAGCTGGGCTGAAGTCCACAACCTCACAACAAAACTGTTCATAATAATATTCTTATTCATAAACTTCCCCTGATTATTTTCAATGTACTCGGTCCATCGATGCAATGACTGCTCTATTTGTTCATTTTCCCCCCAAAAAAGAACAATAGTTCACATGCATTATACCTAAACCAATGTTTGTTTTTACCCCACATCCAGACATGCATTAGTTCTCATAAACAATGCAGACAAAGTTAAAAAGAAGTGGGACTTTGAAAATACCTTTCCAAAGCCCTCTGAGGCCTTCATCTCTTGCTATGGTCTTATAAGCATTGGTGGTGCTGCTGTACCTCTTCACAGAACCGTGCTCAGGCCGATGAATCTGAGCCTGGAACCTGACCTTCACCACGTCGGTGGGCTGAGCAAAAGCCACCGCCATCGCTCCTGTGGTGGAGCCCGCCAGAAGTCGGGTCCCGAGTCCAGGATCTGTCACACAGCAGTTCATGGCAGTTGGCAACTACAAGCAACTTCACAGAAACATGCAAATTGTCAGTCAGATTGTCAAAGTTTTATGACAACACGTAAGATTTTAATTTTTCCTATAGACTTAGTTCAGGCAGGCAGCTGTAGGCTGACTGGTTCTTCTTGGCCAGTCAGTTGAAAGCCTGGGTTGCACAGTGAAGTTTTATATATATACACTATATTAAAAAATAAAAAAAAAAAAAATAGTATATATATACTACCTTACTATACATATAGCTTAATGAACATCCCATTTATATACCATGTTCAATATGAACGTCGGTCCCCCTTTGCCCGCAGAACAGCCTCAATTCTTCGTGGATAGATTCAACAAGGTGCTAGAGTTCTCAGGGAATTTCCATTGACATTGAAAGGCATTACAAGTTGCACACGATGTTGGCGTGAATCCATGCTCTCAATCTCCGTCTAATCCATCCCAAAGTGTTCTATGGATTGAGTCGGACTCTGTGCAGGCCATCGAGTTCAGTGAACCATGTCTGTTTAGAACCAGTCTTTAATGACCTTGCTTTAGTGACATGAGCATCATCCTGTTGAGAAGAGAGAAGGTGGGTAAAATGTTCATAAAGTATGGGGGCATGGTCTACCAAAATATCAGTGGATGTGAGCATTCAAGATCTCAATTTGGAACCAAGGGCCCAAAGAGTCCAAGAAAAACCACCCATGACACCTAACCCCCCATCCAACACACTTTACACTTGGCACATGGAGTCAGCATTACCGTTCTAAACGCCAAATCCCAGACCCTCCATCGAATTGCAGAGGGAAATCGCGATCTCATCAGACCAGGAACGTGTTCCAATGCTCTAATGTCGCGTTTTCCAGTGAGCTTTGCAAAATTGCACCTTGTTTTGTTTAGGGTGGAGTGCACGTTGGCTCGCTGGTAACCCATTCCATAAAGCTCTCTGCGACTGTTCTTGAGAGCTATCTGCCCACTGGTTTGAAGGCTGGTTGATTGTCTGAGCACTGTTGCTACTCTATCACTACGAACCAGTCTAGCCATTCCCTCTGACCTCGCATCAACGTTCCAGCCACGACGTGCCGCTGAGTTGACTGTCTTTCCCGGACATTCTTCTTATAAACCCTAGACAGGTTGCGTGAAATATATTCAGGAGTTCGAAAATTTCAGACCGTTCTAATTGCACAGTTGTCATCCAAATCACTATTCCCACACTGAAATTCGTGACTGCAGGAGATGTCGACCCATTCTTATCAACAAAATGATTTGCACATTGCATGTAGGTGCTTAGAAATTGTGTTACAACTGTTTACCAGGTAGTGACTGGAATAACCTGATGTATATATAATTTGGCAGGTGAGCAAAGTACTTTTGCTACTTGATAAAAGTGTATTTGTTAATAAATACTATGTAAAATGAATACTGATTAAACTTCTTTACTCAAGTAAATAACATACATTGTAAATATTATATAAGTATATAAAGTAATAGTAAACACTCATCCGGCCACATTTTAAGATGTCGCCATCTAGACTAGACCCGTTTGTTTTTTCAAACGCCTCCATTCTCTTGCAAGCCAACATGCCGGAAGCATCCATGGATTTTGGCCATATCGCGAATCTGTGATTCACTTGTAAGTTGGTGCGCTCACAATGATCGAATTCTCACCGTTTCCAACCCACACTTCCAATTAGAGGCTCCTTTGGTTGATCTGAGTGATGTGGAGGCCATCTGATACAGTGGAAACTCATTGTATGTTCAAGAAACCAGTTGAGATGATTCCAGCTATATGACATGGAGCATTATCCTGCCTGAAAGTAGCCATCAGAAGTTGGGTACATTGTGGTCATAAAGGGATGGACATGGTCAGCAACAATACTCAGGTAGGCTGTGGCGTTGCAACGATGCTCAATTTGTACCAAGGAGCCCAAAGAGTGCCAAGAAAATATTCCCCACACCATGACACCACCACCACCAGCCTGAACCATCGATACAAGGCAGGATGGATCCATGCTTTCATGTTGTAAACGCCAAATTCTGACCCTACCATCCGAATGTCGCAGCAGAAATCGAGACTCATCAGACCAGGCAACGTTGTTCCAATCTTCTATTGTCCGATTTCGATGAGCTTGTGCAAATTGTAGCCTCAGTTTCCTGTTCTTAGCTGAAAGGAGTGGCACCCGGTGTGGTCTTCTGCTGCTGTAGCCCATCTGCCTCAAAGTTCGACGTACTGTGCGTTCAGAGATGCTCTTCTGCCCACCTTGGTTGTAACGGGTGGTTATTTGAGTCACTGTTGCCTATCTATCAGCTCGAACCAGTCTGGCCATTCTCCTCTGACCTCTGGCATCAACAAGGCATTTCCGCCCACAGAACTGCCGCTCACTGGATGTTTTTTCTTTTTCGGACCATTCTCTGTAAACCCTAGAGATGGTTGTGCGTGAAAATCCCAATAGATCAGCAGTTTCTGAAATACTCAGACCAGCCCTTCTAGCACCAACAATCATGCCACATTAAAAGTCACTCAAATCACCTTTCTTCCCCACACTGATGCTCGGTTTGAACTGCAGGAGATTGTCTTGACCATTTCTACATGCCTAAATGCACTGAGTTGCCGCCATGTGATTGGTTGCTTAGAAATTAAGTGTTAACAAGCAGTTGAACAGGTGTACCTAATAAAGTGGCCGGTGAGTGTATATATATATATATACAGAGATGGCAAAAGTACTCACTTTCCGTACTTGAGTAAAAGTACAGATACTTGTGTTAAAAAATACTCTGGTAAAAGTGGAAGTACTGATTAAACTTCTTTACTCAAGTAAAAGTAACAAAGTACAGGCTTGTAAATTTACTCAAAGTATAAAAGTAAAAGTAGAAACCACTTTTTTCATGCCGTTGCCTACATTTTAAATGGATGTCTGCCAATAGGACTAGATCTCCGTTGTGTTTATTTTCAATCATCTCGTCGTCCATGCTACTATGCTAACGCCACCGCCACCAAGCTGCAATGATTTGCCGCCAATGAATACCGCCGAATCTGTCGATTCATCTTGTAGTGGTGCGTCAAATGCAACGTAGATTCTCATCCAATAGGCTCTATGCACAACTCCACCACTTCCTGAACTTTAGGAGGCTCCTTTGTTTCCTGTCTTTCATGATTGGATGCACTGATTAATCCAAGTGTGTAAGACCTAAGTAACTGGCCAGACACACCTGGATTAATCAGTTCGTCCAGTAATGAAAGACAGGAAACAAAGGAGCTACCTTAAATTCAGGAAGTAGTAGAGCTGTGCATAAAGCCCATTAGATTGAATTTGGTATTGATGACGTGAAAAATAATAACGGTAACTCCATTGAAATGATTCAAAACTAAAGTAACGAGACAATTTTTTTAAATGTAAGGAGTAGAAAGTACAGATATTTGTGTAAAAATGTAAGGAGTAGAAGTAAAAAGTCACCATAAAAATAAGTAGTAAAGTAAAGTAAAAATATCAGAAAAATCTACTTGAGTACAGTAACGAAGTATTTGTACTTCATTACTTCCCATCTCTGTATATATATATATATATATATATATATATATATATATATATATATATATATATATATATATATATTTTTTTTTTTTTTTTAAATAAAATTAACGGTGACAGAGAAGCTGGCTTAATAAGGCCTTTGATTTCCTCTTCAGTGAGAAATCTGATGTGTGTTCTACATCCTAAAAGCGAGAATAACAACTCCAACTCTATTCTTTCCCCTTTTTTTTAGGTTCATTAAAGAAAAAATAGATTTGTTTTCTAATATGGGATCAATAAAAATGTGTGGACAGATAACTAAAGCTAAAGTAAATGATTTTAATGTGCTTTGGTGTAGCTTTTGCTGTTTGACACAAGAGAGCAGTGTCGGATATTTAAAATTTAAAGACATGTTTATTCTTAGAACTTCTCATTTACAAGCTGAACAAAATCCAAGCTGTGTACTGTTTGAATAAGCTTTATATAAACCGTTTTTTTACCGCACTGTGAAAGTAAGCCACTCATAGTTTTACAATATCACATTTTGTTTGTAATGTAATTGTTTCAATTCTTAATATCAGAACCCTTTAGAAAGGCGTCACAGGTAGCGTTTGTCAGCAGAAACATACTCTCTGATCCGTTGGCATAGAGCTGCTTCATGGTGTCGTACAGACCGATCCGTATTGAGGAAAAGCACATCTGTCTGTGTAGACCTGCCAGGAGCCCATTGTATAGATTTTTTGGCCCCTCATTTCTCACAATAGGGATGATGGTGCCAAAAACACCTCGGTACTTTGGCTTCTCCCCTTTTGTTAGAGCCTTAGATTCACCTTGGACCTGAAGAAATAAAAAAAACATTTCGAGACAAAGAAAAAGTCGGTACTTAAATCTCTCTTTTGGACATTTTGCCATTGATCATGTCGATTTTGCAACCACATAGGTCCAAATATGTAAACAGGATTTTATTTGAAAGGCAGCTCATATTTGTGAAGTCAGAGGAAATAATTTGTTTTTCAAAACTTCTGAAAAATGAAACAATCCATCGCAAAATAGAGAGACTCTATTAAATGTAATTTTTAACCCCATTTAGATGTGGGCTTTAACTAGGCCTTTCTAGGACTAAATGTTCTGATGTATTTCTCTGCTGGTTTTTTTTAGTCACGGTCTGCTGAACTTTAAAGTTTTTAAGCCTCCAGCAAATCCCCATAGTATAATGCTGCCACCACCCTGTTTCATTCTGGTTATTGTGTTTAGGGCGTTTTGCATATTAGACAGGATTTTCTCATCTCACATAAACACCTTTTTCCACATTTTTGTTGTCCTCCATGGATTATGGCAAACTAAAAATAGGTTTCCTATGACTTCTATAGTTCCTTCAGGCTGCTGTCCTGATTGTTCTCTCTGTGCCCAGCCTGTATGACTAATCTTAGAAATAAAAAAATCAAAAAGGTTGTATGTTTAAAAAAACCAAACATTTTATGCTAACTAAAGCAAGAAAATTACATCAAATAAGGCCATGGAACTGTTGCTCTTTGCTCTGGAATTTATCTAGAACTAAATTTAAATTGAAGATAATTCATAGATGAATAAAACAGTGCATCATCTGTAAGAATTAGTATTTAACATAGATTTGCAGTATTTAAGCAGTGATTATTGGGATGTTTTCTCACTAAGTAAAGCATTTGATTTCTTTAAGGATAAATGTCAAGGCAGGCTGTTTTGAAGGATGTCACTTCACATAAACTCAAATTTTTTTTAAATCTGTGAACTGTTCTGCTTAAAACTTTATTATACAAATTTGGATCACATCTAACATTAAAGGATAAAAGTTCAAAAAAATGTAAGATCTCCCTTATTATAAATAATGTATTACAATTCCTATACTTTTTTTTTTTTTAAACCTTTACAGTACATCCTGATTGTTGTTTTTTTCTTTTACCTGTAGTCGTACTTTGGCTGTGTCCAACGGGAAGGTGACCAGATCAGCCATGCAACCGGCGGATCCTGCTGAAAAAATCTTAACAGCTGTTGGAGCCGAATCAGATTTTCCTCCTCCCACCATTTTCAAAAACTTTTAAAGATCAAGTTTTAAAGAAAAAAATAAATAAATAAAAATCAACGGAGGATTCTGTCATGCTGCAACTTCAACAAAGTTTCTTCCGCATCCTTTCAGGACTTCATGTCAGGAAACGAACTACTGGAGCCAACATCAGGTTTCAGGTAATAATAAATAGAATTTGCTTCTTAGAGTATGGTCCTCTTGTTCCATTACTTGTTGCAGCTGGAGGGGATTTGTCTGAAAGTTGGAAAACAAGAACAAGCTGGTATGTTGAGACAAATCCTCGACTGAAGACAATCCATTTACATGTTGATAACTATTCTTAACAGTAACAGAAGTACCACACCCATTGTGGTTATGACACAGTGAACAAGGTGTGCTGTGAGCTCTCAAAGTACCTAAAGCTTCACTGCCGGAGGGCGTGTTTTTTTTTTTTTTTTACAGCTGATCCACCTGTTTGATCACATGAACATTTAAACAGCTGGTTTGACTGGTGGCAATCTGGTTTAAACCAGATCAGCTTAGCAAATAATATCATAATTAAGTTTTTATCCAGCTTTATCCAGCCTTTAAAATGAATCATAGTCCAATTTAAACATTTGTTAACATATAACAATTTAATAAATGTAACAATTTATTTTGGAACTATGAATGATTCCTAAACAAGCCATTGTTACAAATATTATCATGGTTAAGAGAGCATGCTACAGAAGAATCCCTGCGTGCAACGCATTAGAAATGTATGATGTACATTACCACCCTATAAAATAAAATACATTTTTATTTTGCAAACAAAAAATTTTAATAAAGTAAAGCTGCATGCTTTGATCAGAGGAGACTAAAATTAAGAAAATAAGCAAATACTTCAAGTGGTTTTGGTGAAAAACAAAAAGATATATGGGAAATCATCGTATTCCCATAGTTAGGCATGATGGAGGACCTATAATGCTGAAGTTTTATTTGACATTCCAGAGGAAATCATACTGCCAATGGAGGTCGATTCCATCCATCCATCCATCCATCCATTATCTTACACGCTTGTCCCAATTGGGGTCGCGAGGGGTGCTGGTGCCTATCTCCAGCAGTCAATGGGCGAGAGGCGGGGTACACCCTGGACAGGTTGCCAGTCCATCTGGAGGTCGGTTCCACTTTATCTAAACAACCTGTGGTGTGAGCTAAGGACCACAAGGCATAAGAAAGGACAAAACTAAAAACTAAATGTACGAAGCATCGTGCTGCTCTACAGGAACAACTAGATGGTAATAAACATTAAGGGCTTTTTTTTTTATTAAAAGCAATGATTCCTCTTGATGCATAAATGAAATAAAACATTGATATATTTTGGGAATTTTCAATCATCTTGACCAAGACTAACAATATAAAAGAGATCTTAATAGCTTATCTTCCAAGTTGTGTAAAAGGCAGTAAAGATTCACTTCAATGTAGACAAAAAGATTCAAAGTGCAAAAAATGTTCCATATTTATTTATAAAAGATACAGACATAAAAATAATTTACATGATTGTTGTGGTGTAAAGCAACAGTGCTAACTGGGCTTATCGAAATGTGCTGCAAATATTTTAGCTATTCTCTCCGTCTGTTTCTTCAAGGACGAAGGCGACATGTCGGGTCGCTGGCGAGGACGTCTGCGGGGTTGAACGCTGCGGTGATCTGAAGCCGGACCCTACAAACGTACCACAGAGATGAATCATAATAACATTAGGGAAGCTCCTATGCAATGGTATGTCTAAGCCTGACATAATGACTTGCATGTTTGTGATGTGTCATCACTCCAACTCAATAAGGTGTTCTTTGGTTACTGCTGATCGTTCTATGCAGAACATAACAACACAACCCTGAAATTAACAGGTTTAAACCGGTTCTTAAACCGTACAGTAGGTTTGGTTTCAGGCATGCTGCTTTAACTGCAGCTTCATCACATTTGTTCAATATTTTCTTACAGATGACTTTCTAAACCACAACTCTGCTCTACACACAATGCTGGAAGTGAAGATTTTATGGCTTCAAATAAAACAGGCAAACAGCTGAGAATCCCTGGGGGGCTTTCGATCCCTACATGTTTTAGACAAGTCGCTGGCAATAACAATGAACACACAGCTTCCTGAACACCATCAGGTTCTACAGAGCAGAAAGCTTTGATTATTATTTAACCCATTGATGGCTACAAAGGAAGATTGAACACAGATGTTGCTATTTTTTTAAATAATGACAAACTCTAACATAAAATTATAATACTCAATTTTTTAGCTTCATGTGAAAAACCATCAAAACAGAAATGAATGCTTAAAAACTGAATAACTAATCTATACAATGTTTCTTTTTGTGTGAACTGAGTTAACCAAAATAAATGACCTTTTCAACAATATTCTACTTTATAAAATTTTGCTTAATAACTCTGTCTGCATATCAGGGACGATAGTATGTTAGTTTTATGATTCGCTTCATTGTTTTTCAATGTTTAACCTACCCAAAGCCTTAATGTAAAGTTTCAAATACAATATTATTCAAAGCTGAGTTTTAATGACCTTTACAATAATCAGTAGCTGTCATGGGTAATGCTTTCTTTTATAGTACATCAATAACCATGTAATAACATCGACAGCAATAAATAAATGTGCTATTATTGTGTAAAACGCAGTTTATTGCTTGGCATATGACAGAAAATCAAATCTAGAAAAGAGCAAGTTAATCTTCTTGACTAAAATCTTATTCATATCTAACTTGAGTTCAGTTTTATAATGTTTTATTTACCAGATCTCATGTTACAATTTACTTTGTAAGCCGTTGGTAGGTGGTGGCCATTGATAGAAACTGTTATGTGTGACTTGCTATGTTATTACCATGTTATTTCATGGTTATTGATGTACTGTAAAAGAAAGTGTTAATCTGTCATGTTATTGCTAGTGAGATATTATAACCTGTTAAAGCTTAAAAAACACTTAATTAGAATTACATTATAATTAAAGTGGTTAACAGTAGTACTTGGCAATACTCTAAAATTGGCTAACATCTCTCAAATGGTCAACTTCAGATTCTGACAAAACTTAAAATTCATAGAAAATGAGCTTTTCATCTAAAGAATCTTATAAGCTGTTTTTTATTCTATGTTAACCTAAATAATATAATCCTATGGTGTTTACATAAAAAAATTAAAGATGAAATAAAGTAGGGCTGCAACAACGAATCGATAAAATCGATAAATATCGACTTTTAAAAGCGTTGGCAACGAATTTCATCATCGATTAGTTGTGTCGCTCGATTAATGCGTCATCCGCCGCCGCGGTCATCACTGCCACTTGACTGAAACGGGGGAAGAAAAAAAAGTTACGGCAGAGCGAGCCAGCGCTGCAGGTGCGCAGTGTTGCCAACTCAGCGACTTTGTCGCTATATTTAGCGACTTTTCAGACCCCTCCAGCGACTATTTTTTTTAAAAAGCGACTAGCGACAAATCTGGCGACTTTTTACGGTGTCACTGCTGGCGGCTTTTGGAGACTCTTACGTGAAAGCATGTATTGTTCCTACTCTTGTCCGGCAGCAGCAGCTGCTGCTGTGAGGCGCCCCTAGTTCTCTCATTTTTATTCCAAATACAATTTATAATTTGAATCACAGGGCTATTTTTATCTCTATGGTTCAGTATTTTCTCAAGTAGCAACTTTAACTATACTTTCCTGTCTTAAAAGGCAGAACCTCTTCTAGTCTAAAAAAAAATCATTTGTTGAAATGGGGGGGCCTATTGTTTGAACCCCTTAGGGGCTTTTAAAAAAACAAAAATGCCTGTCTTTTTTTACACTTTATGAAACAAAGTACCCTATATTTTGTGGATGTACAGCTACATTTCTCATGTAAGTGTGCATAGTTTTAACACAAACATTTATTTTTCATATTGCACCAGTACAGTTAATGAGCAACCTGTACTTGTGTGCTTGTTTGTTCTGTCTAAAATGTTTATTTTGGAATAAAGAGGTTAGTATAAAAAATATTTTTTGTCCGATTCATCGTTTAATCGAAAAAATCGGCCTGTCCATGTGGAGAAACAACTTAGCAATATTCTATACAGCTGGAGAGACCAACCATTTTCTCTGGTATCCCAACTAAACAGATTAAAACCTCATTATGGAGTAATAATAAGATTTGAAATCTTTATACCTGAACCATCCAGCACCTTGATGGTGTAGAATTAATCTGATTAAAACAGGAATAATAAAATAGATTTTATTGTCATAAGTAAAACTAATGAGAAATACTTACAGAGTCATAAGATGCCTGAGAGAAAGACGGTGCTAAACGGATTGCTTTCAGTGACGACTCTAGTTGGTGAGAGGTGAGGAAGAAATTAGGGATCTCCATGGGCAACAAGCTTAAGGTAAGTTAAAAAAAACAACAACCAGAAACACAGGTAGTATTCTACATCCCTGTTAAAGGTGCACCAATTACAGGTTTCTAGCCGATCACAGATTCCGGATCTTTAAAAAGCTTGACATGCCGATTCTGGTTTTGATTGATACAGATTTCTTTTTATAACTGACACTGTAAGTGGTTACAAGATAACAACATATTTCAATCTTATCAAATTGAAAAATCATGAATTATTGTAAATAAAATAACTGCTTTAAGGCCCTGACAGTGAGTGGTTTTCAGACCTCTACAGAGTTAGATCAGACTCTTGGAAAAGATCGCTTTCATATCCAAGTTTCCGCGGATCAGCATTCTTCCAAAATTAAGGAAATTCAGGCCAATCAATCAGCTGGCTGATAAATCGGTGCAGCCCTAATAATTAACATTTTCCTACTGCAGATTTAAACTTTTTATAGTCCTCTATGTGACACTACTGAATTTGGCTTCCCACGTCACAAAATAAACAAATATTAAAAGCAGGAATAATTTTCTTCCCACTTTAATAAAATGTCTAAGCCTTATAAAGATTATAAGTTAATGTTGGCAGGTACCAAGTACAGGTTATAAGAAGAATACATGTATAGGTAAAATCACAAACGAAATCAAGATCAATGTTTTTAGATGGTTTTAGACACTACTATATGTGTGCTGCCATAAACAAGGCCTGCTTCATCAAAACTACCAAACACATCCGAGACCGTCTATGTCATCTATTAGGCCAAAATAAATGTTCCTCATTGCGTAACTAATCTAAATCATTCACTAATGTCTCTCCTGTAGTGAATAAAATCCTTTAACGGTAATTTAATTTCTAAATGTTCAGATCTTCTGTAATACTTAACTAAAGAAATAGATTATCATATTATAGAGATTTCTGAAATTTTCCTTCTTGCAAACAGCCTCCTTCAACCACATTTTGTATTCAATTTCCAGTATTGAACTCCACCTGCTCTGCCC